GTGTGTGTGTGTGCACGTTCCATTGTCCATCTGAGTGAGTATGTTGCGCGTGTGACCTTACCTCGCTGTTTCCCCTGCCCTTTCGCTGAGCATCTTCTCCCGTGGCTGCCATCGCCGTCGCCTTGTCATAGACGAGAAGGGGATAAGTAATTAGAGTAAGTAGTTTGCTGATAAGATTCGCGGAGCCACAACTGACAACGCTGTTTTTCAGATCCGCTCGGGGGTCAATCTGACCTGCTTTCTCAGTCGTAACGGCAGGGCTTCTCTGCACACACGCGCCCTTCTTTTTCTTTTCCTTTTTCTTTACTTTAGCTAGAACGGCCACGGCCTGGAGACTCCTTCTGCACCACGGCGCAGTGCATCCACTGCCCGCTTCCTGGTGTCCGTTTGTGCTGTTTGTCGAAGCAGTTCATTCAGACATCCTCCGAAGTCCACGTCTCGCTTCTCCATCGTCCGCTTACCTACGCTTCTTTGGCTCTCCTGTGGTGAATCGTTATCCTCCACCCTCCTTCCTGTCCTCTGGCAACGAGTTATGGGGCTGCGTGTCTCGAGCTCGATGACGATACTGACGGTGATGATAGGATTGATGATGATGATGATGGGCATGCCGTTACGGGTGATAGTGGCAGTCGGAGCAGATATGAGCTGGACAGCGCAGCAGAGAGGAGGGAAGTCCGTTGCGGGAGCGGAGAGTGCGTACAATGATGAAGTTGGCGATATGCAAGGAGCGAGAGAGCTCCAGGCAGAGCCATCAAGTGCTTTCTCCGTCATAAACACGACTCTTCTTGGAGCTCCCCGAGTGGTTTTGTCAACTACTCAGCTCTTAGGTCCAACAGCCAATGACATTACGTGTTCTCGTTACATTCAGGATGTCGTATTTAGCTCCCAGACGGGGGTGTTCTTCTACTTGCAGCAGGATTCCTGCTTCAATTATACTGCAGGAAATGGAGTGTTTAGACGGTCGATTCACAAGTGTGATATGCGAGGCATTGCCAGCTCTGGGCCCGCTCAGGCCAACTCCTCCTTGCTCACTGTACAATGGACGCACGATAACGGGAACGGCACAGCGGCAACGCCGGTAAGTGACTTGCCAACCTCTATGCCGTATTGGTTGTATAAGCTCGATCTGTCGCGGAGCGAGCGCTATGTCGTTCTGCCCTTATCGATCAAAGGTTTGGCATTCGTCAACACTGCGGATGGTTCCAGAACCACGTACGAGATCTCCCACTTCCTGGGTTACACGGGTGCATTCAATCCTAACCGCACTATTTACTATTTGGGAAATGTTGGCTGCGTCCTGTACTCCGTCATGGATGGGGACTATCCGGGGAGCTTTGTCAACGATTTCCGAAGTAAAGCATGCTATGGGGACTACGTGTTCGACTTCGGTCATCGAACTTTTCTCCAAGATGGGAGCTACCTATACGCTTGGCACCTCCGTGACAGAACATTTCTAGGTTTTGACCTCATTAGTGGAGAGGTGAATGTGGTAACCGGGATGCCGAAAATCCAACAGATGGCGTTGGGGGATTTTGTGTTGACACAAGATGGATGCAACTTGTTCGTCGTTGTATTTACTGATAATGCTGGGAAGACTATAATGCGGGCGGCTTTTGATAAACCGAGAGGAAAGGTGGTCACAGTCGAGGATGTGACTACCTATGCCTCACGAGATGGCTGGATCGGGACGGTTGCTCTGGACAATGACGACAGTCACTTGTACGTGTCGACCTCGGATGGCCAGCTGTTCGAATTTCCAATCGTAGAGGGTTTCCATGATGTCGAAGGTCCACTGGTCATGGAACCGCGGGGCCTTGCGAAGGCTGTGAGGCATCCGCAAGGGGAAGGAGAATGGAAGGTCAGGCACCACACTGTCGACAAAGGACTTGGCGTGATTGTCGCCAAGTGTGACAGTGACAGTGGAAGGGTAGGGGGATGTGTAGAGAGATGCCTCCTTAACTACCCGAGGATGGATGAAGTCGCCAGKAGAGCCAGAATCCCATAATGCGCGGTACACTCTAGTAGAAGTCCCAAGACGCACTGGAATAATCGGTAAGGTGCGATCGGGATTGTGTAGGCGCTGAGACATAGCAGACATGGTGTGCTCTTTAAGGCGAGTACGTTCCTGACGGACCTTAACACACTCAAGGTCCAGGAAATCAATAATATCCTCGGCGGCAATAAGAGCAGCACTGCAGCGGGCCGTGCGAAGAGCACGCCTAGTAGGAGGACGTGGGGGAGGGGGGTCGGGGGAGGCAATGGATGAAGAAGGGGGAGGTAAACCAACAGCGGCAGAGTCCGCCAAAGATAATGTCACAGTAGAGTCATCGGGAACAGTAGCACGCGGTGTAAAGGTAGAAGCGCAAACGGGGATGCCTGCTACCGTAAGAGAGTCAGAGGAATGAGATACCGCGGCTAGCTGGATGCTCCGCTGGAGGTCGGGCCGGGGGGGGCAACCTGAGAACGCACCTGCTGTGCGAAGTGACTCTGCAAAGCGTCTGCGTACRGGCAAGTCGAGGAAGTATGCCCAGCGAGGCGGCAGCGGGTGCAGATGCCTCGTGTACGAAGATCCTCACTCTCCTGGATAGTCAAACGGYCGCGGGGGAACACATAGCCCGCTGGTAAAGGTACCTGGGCGACCGTGGAACGAGTCCTCGATGATGAGGGCTGTCGGCGGAASAGGGCGGACAGGGCCCGGAGAAGGCGATCGTCCTGGGACGGGGTGTCATCCTCCATGGGCGACTGAGGGTCGGACCCCTGGTCTGGGTCGCTCGCTGAACCATCTGAAGGCGTGCCATCCTCGACACTCAACGGGTCATGGAGCAGTGCGTGGAATCGGCGTGCAAACGATCGGCCGGAACCTCTGCGGGGACCACGACGGAAAGTAGAAGACGGTCGAGGCTGGGTGGAGCGAGGGGCGGCAACCGCCTCAGCGTAGCYGGTCGGAGGCTGGGGCGAAGAGCCAACGAGAGGAGCATACGAGAGATGAATGGCCCGGGCAATGTTGAAAGCCTCGGTCAAGGTGGAGATCGAATATGCCAACATCTGGAGCTGGAATGGCTGAGGTAGGCCTGCGCGGAATCGCTGARCCATGGGCTCCTCGGGTATGATGGTGACAGGGATCTGAGCGCGTATGCGCTGGAATGCCGTGATATATGACTCAAGGGCATTGTCGCCACCAAGCCATCTGATCTCAGCCACCCGGGAGATCGGGTCACGGGTCGRCACCGGTCGGGAGAAGTACTGCTGGAGAAAGTCTCGRAACTCCGGGTAAGACATGCTCTGCTGTACACCCCGCTGAGCACGAAGGGCGAGGAAATCGCGCCAGGTGGAGGCCGCGCGACCTGTAAAGCGAGATGACATCTCAACAGGCCATAGGTCCATGTGGACACCATGGTACCGGAGCTGCTCCTCAGAGGTCGTGATCCATAGCTGTAGCTCGGAGGCCTTRCCATCGAACGTAGGAAGGCGGTCCGGTCGAAATTGCGGGACATAGTGCGGGGGCTGGTAGTGGGGGGGAAGTGGGAGTGCCGACTGTGACAAGAGGACAGGAGCCGTAGTAGTAGAAGTCTGGGAACTAGAAAGAACGGGGAATGAGGATGAGGGTCCCTGACACAAGGTGGTAGCCGATGGTGGGAGTGTGAAATGCATCGTCGCAGCCTGTGCCTGATGCTGTCGCTGTAAAAAGGGGGCCACAGGCTGTGAGGTGGTCATGGAGTGGGCTCCCTGGAGTCGGCCGAGCTGATCTTTGGTCCAAGCTAGCTCGTCTTGGAGCTGACGGATCTGTGTCCGAGGTGTCATAGGAGGTGGGGGAAGGGGACTAGAGAGTGGTGGAAGAGGGGATGTGGAGACGAGYGTGGAAGAGGTAGCAGAACATGACGCCATGGGGCCACACGAGGCCGATGTACTAACAGAAGTGGCTGTCGATGAATGGTGGGGATGGGCTGYGGACATACCACCCGTGGAGGCCACAAGTGTGTAGATGACGCCAGCTGACGATGGGGGGGAAGCTGGTGTAGGCCCTAATGACATGGGCTGAGATGTAGGCAGCGAGGTCCCACACTGGGGAGAGGAAGAGGGGGGGGGAGAGGGTCGTAGTGTAGAAGTGTGAGACTCCAAGTGTGCCATACGATCTGAGAGAGCCGTAAATTTGGCCTCAAATGTGGCCTGCATCTGCCGTAGCATCGCCACAATAGTGTCGCACTGAGGGGCGATCTCGGATCCCGCGGGTAGAGGAGTGGCGATCCCCGTCGGGTCTGACATAGTGTCATGGGCTAGAAAGGCAAGGCCCTCGTGAGCGGATCGGGMGGGACTTTCTGCCTCACCACTCGTCATAGAGGCAGAGGATGAAGACGATGAGGATGGTGAGYGGGGGCGGGTTGGGACCTGAGAGGTAGTCGGATGTACGTCAAAGCGACGGAGACGGGCCGCGGCACGAGCCTCCYGGGCACGATTTCGGAGATGTCGCAGATGAGGGTCAGGGGAAGCCAGGTTGGTATGCAGAAAGAGGGGTAAGGGGTAGCGAAAAGAGAGGCGAATATGACGCAGC